TCTCCCCTCAGCAGCACCGGCAGCGGTGGCTGCAGTTTTCTAGGTCTCCCCCTGCCGTTTATGCCACAAATCTGTCCTCGTGCTCCTGCTGCAATGGCACCTGCTGCACGCTCCTGCCGCTTATTAAAAATATCCCATTTTCCTTTTAATTGGAAAACATAAATTTAAAGACTGTTCCATGTGGGTTTAGGATGTATTTTGAGTACTTAGGGAAAAACGGCGGATGACAAAACTGCAAGACCAGGGAAAAGGCAGGTGAAATCAGAGTGTCACTCCCGTCACTAGAAGGGGAGGTGGGGGGTTAGAAGTTTTGTTCACATCAGAAAAGGGAAGAAAATGAGCCCAGTGACAGTTTCTGGGTGTGGATCCTCTTCCGTGGGGCTCAGGCTCTGGCGCTGTCCTCGACGGCAGCCCCGGGGCTCAGGCCCAAGGTGCTGCTCGAACCTTCCAGGACGGGCAGAGGGTCAGCTCCGCGATGGGCACAGGCTGGAAACTCACGTGGGGCCGAGGGGAGCGGAGCGGAGCGGAGCCGGGGGGGTTACACCGTGTGCTCCGGCCGGGACGGGCAGCGGGTGCTGAGCACCGGCCCCTCTGCCAGAGCCATGCTGGCGCTGGCCCTCGAGCCCTCTCAGCCAGCTCTTGGCCATTTTGTCCCCGGATTTACTGGCTCCTGTGCCCCTCCTGTAGCTCTGAGCCTTTGGCTCATAACTCATCTTTGTGGAAAGACCTGAACTGCACAGCGCTGCCGCAGTTCTGTGATGTGCAAATGTGCTCACAGCCCGGGCCCTTCCTAGTGCTTGCCAGCTCACAGGACGCCCGCTGACGAGCGCAAACGGTGTCTGGGCCATCAGGCGCTTGGGTTAATTACACTGTGCTGCGCTGGGAAGCAAACCTGTTCTTCTGCACTGGGATGAGGCTCTGCTCTTGTCCCTCTCCGAGGGTGAGAGTCCCCGTGGATGGTGGTGTCAGCCACAGCAAGGGGTTGCCTGGGTCAGACAAACGTGCAGTTGTACAGCCATAAATGTCCACCACGTACAGTTGTGCCGCTGTGGAGCATTAGCGGCTCTCATGGGCGGGAGCCGCTGCTCAGAGCCCGGAGTGTGGGAAGGGAGGATGGGGAGAGCGAGTCGGGCTGCAGCGATGTCCGTGGGGAACAGGGGACTGCGGGGACACTCCTCAGCAACTTCGCTTTTGCTTTGCAGGCGTGAAGAACTCTCTGGTGGCCCACGACATGGCATTTGAGATGACGCGGGCTCCCTGGAGCCCGGAGCAGCAGATAGAGCGGCCACGACTCACCAAGAAAGTCCTGGACACGGAGGACCAGGCTGCCTTCCGGCTCCAGTCGAAGATGCCCAGATACGTCTACTTCGCGGCCAACAGCAAAAACAAGTGGGGCCACCAGCGTGGTTACAGGATCCAAACCACCAGTTTTGCGGGGGAACATGTCCCCGAAGCCAGCTCCATGGAGAGGGCCATCAGCTGGGCAAGGTCAGGCTGCTCTGACTGGGACAGCAGGTTCTCAGAGACACCCCAGTCCTGCTGGCTGAGGTGGCAGCACATGGATGTTCCTTGATGGGGAGGCACAGGGCAGACAGTCTCCTGGGCTGGAGGTGCTCCACAGGAGCAGGCTCGTGCTCTGTAGACTCTCCAGGGTGCTGGCTTTCATCTCTGCCCTGCCCCTGGGGATGCTCCCAGCTCTTTTCTTGTCCTCAGGTACCAGCTGGCCGTCACAAGGCGGAAGGAGGAGGAGCCCACCAGCACCAGCATCTACAACCAGAATGACCCCTGGACGCCCACCGTTGCCTTCGCCGACTTCATCAACAACGAGACCATCACCAACGAGGTGAGCCGGGGTCCCCTGGGCTGGAGCTGTAATACTCAGCCCCGGGGAGCCCCAGAGCTGCCCCAGGGGCCGAGCGACTCCGGCATCGCCGGTGGGACAGCAGACTCAGCTGGGAGAGCAGCAGCCCCGGGGAATGAGGAGAGTGGGTTTGAGCATCCCCTTTTCTGTGTGTCTGCTTGGCGCTTTGGTCAGAGCACATAGATCAGAGTGCAGAGGAGGAGCTTGTGTTTCCCTGCAGAGCAATGCTGGCAAAACATCAGGAAAATCTCTGTGAGGCCACGGCTTGGCCGCAGGGGTCAGGGCAAGGGCCCTTCTGCTGGGTGGACATCTGCGGCTGCAGCTACGGGCAGGTCTTTGGGAAGGGAGAGGATCTTTGCCAGGAGGGGGGAGCTCGGCATGTGGGAACGTGGCCAAGCCGGTGCCCAGGGAGATCTGCTCCTGCTCTCCTGTAAATTTCCACGGCCCCTGTGCAGATTTCATTTGCTGCCACTGCAGGCTTCTGAAATAACCGGGGTCTTGTGGCTCTTCCCTTCTTAGGACCTGGTTGCCTGGATAACCACTGGTTTCCTCCACATCCCACACTCTGAGGATATTCCCAACACCGTGACGGTGGGAAACTCGGTTGGCTTTCTCCTGAGACCCTACAACTACTATGACCTGGACCCCTCCATATACTCGCACGACGGCGTGTTTTTCACCAGCGAGCAGGACTTCACGGCATGTGAAATAAACCCTATTGCGTGCCTGCCCAAAACTGCCTCTTGTTTGCCAAACTTCCCCCCATTCACCTATGACGGTTTCCAAAATATGAGCAGGCTTTAACACTACGGGACAGTGTTAGGAGACACAGTCGGAGGTTGACTGTTGTGTCTCAGATTTTTGGTTTTTTAGTGAAGTTGTCTCAATTTCCAGTTATGCGATGACTTCACTTTTTATCATTGCTTTTAAAATAGTGCTCTTTAAAAGGGAAGGATAATCTTCCTGACATGACGCCAGACAGGAGTCTACATTATCTCTGTTAATTGCTGAATTTGAATCTGTTGCAAAGGAGGAAAGTGAGGAGGAAATCCTGTTCCTCTGCTGTAGAAGCATGTGCTGTGTAGTGCCTATCTCAGGTTAAAAAAATGAAAATTATTCTGGTCCAGTGCTCTCTTGACTGTCTTGTTCTTATGACTTACAGCAGCGTCTGCTTGGGGGATGACGCTGGGTCTCTGCCGTGTTTCCTGCACCCACAAACCATCCAGCAGCGCGGCTCGGGGCGCCCGTCCGGGCGCAGGGACGGTCCAGCCGGAGGGCAGGAGGGACGGGCTGGGGAGTCCCGGGGCTCTGGGGGGAGGACGGAGGCGGGTGCTGGCACCACGCTCTGCGAGTGCTCGCGTGAGGCTGGGGACAGACAGGACCCGCGTGGGCTGCAGCTCTCGGGCAGTCGCAGCTCAGCGCAGGTGAGGGGCGCGGAGGGGACCATTGCAGGGAGGGGTCTCGCTGTCCCTGCGCCAGCGCTGTCCCCACCGGTGCCTCTGCACGAACCAGCTGAACCTCAGCCCCGCAGGCAGCGTGAGGGTCAGCTCAGCCCGTCGCAGCCCGACGCTGGCCAGGTTCAGGTGAGAGCCCTCCATGCCCAAGCCAGGGCACGGGAGCCACGCGGCTGCTGATGGTGTAGCACGGCCTGTGCCGCTGCCCGTTTGCCAGGATGCTCGGTGGGCTCTGGAGCCCTCGTCCTCCTCCTCGCAGCCCCCCTATGCCAGGACATAGCGCAGGATCAGGAAACACCTTTGAGAGGGCGATGGGCGTCCCGTCCCTCCTGGCTGCAGGACCAGTGCCTTCCCACGCGTGGGGTCATCGGCAGCAGTGTGTGATGCTGCGATGTCTCCGCACAGGCTGTAGAGGCGTTTCTGGTGAAGGCGGAGCCGTGGCAGGATGGGGCCGTGGTGCTGTACTCAGCAGTGCTCTGCGCAGAGGAGCATCGTCCTTGCGGTCTCTGGTGCCCAGCTGTTTGCATCTGCAGGGTTAAGGGGAGGAGGCACAGGGAGATGCATTTATTTCCCCCAAGTGACTGGATCTGTCCTCTCCAAGGTCTGCAGCGTAGCATGTGGGACAAGAGGGGAAGGACAGATGCAGAAGCATTAAGTTTACTTAAAATTATGACCCACTGGGAGAGGCAGAGCAAAGTTGCCTTTTATGGTTCCCAGCAAATCCCGGGCATGTCTGGGAACGTCCCCCTGCGCCCTCCCTGCAAGCTGCTCCGGGCTGTTCCCTGTTGAGAAAACAAGGGAAAAAACACACCAGACCAAACCCAGCCCCTTCTGTCAGCGGGTCGCTGGGAGGATTCTGCAGCTGGAAACCCGCCCTGCTGGGCTGCAGGAGCTCTCAGTGCCTCAGCAGACATGAACATGAAAACCGTGCTCATCCTCCTCGTTCTGGCTTTAGCCACGATATTTGCTTTAGTCTGCGTGTTGCTGACCAGAGGAAGGGCCCCCGGCACCTGCCAGCCCCAGCCCCCGGAGCAGGAGGACACCGATGATGGCCAGAGCCTGGTGTTTGCCGATCTGACACCCGAAGAGATGGCGCAAGTGGTGCGGTACCTGCGGGGAAACCTCGGGGTGCCGCTGGTTGACGCCTCGCGTGCGAAGCCCTCCGACAACTGCATCGCCTCCGTCGACGTGCAGGTTCCCCCCAAGGCAGAGGTGCTGCGGTTCCTGGATGGTGGGGGGGCTCGCCCCCCGCGGGAGGCGCTGGCTGTGCTGTACTTTGGGAACCAGCCAGACCCCAACGTCACCGAGTACGTGGTGGGTCCGCTGCCGACGCCGGTGTATCACCGGGATGTCACGGTGCAGAAGTACGGGGGGAAGGTGCCGTACCACCGCAGACCCGTTACTGGCCAGGAGTACGTGGATATCAATGCCCTCGTCCAGCGGGAGCTGAGAAAGGCACCGCGCTTCCTCGCTGCGTGCTGTGAGTCCGACGGGACTGACCTGGCCATCCTCACAACGGCCCCGCGGGGCTTCAAGTCCGGTGATCGTGCGACCTGGTTTGTCCTCTTCCACAGCGTGACTGGCACTGGCTACTACCTCTCACCAGTGGGGCTGGAGGTGCTGGTGGATCACGGGGACCTCCGTGTGTCCCGCTGGCAGCTGCGCCAAGTCTTCTACAACGGATGGTACTTCGCCAGCACAGGGGATCTGGAGGATGCATTTGTGGCCAACTTACTGCAGGTCGTCAGGATCGAGAAGTCCCAGGCTGAAGCGGTGCTGGGCTCACTGCGACCCCGGCGCCCGCCCGGCTCCCCAGGTCCACTGCAGTACGAGCCCCAGGGCCCCCGCTACAACGTCAGGGACAACCGCGTCACCTTCCAGGGCTGGAGCATCGCCTTCGGCATGAACCCCAACTCTGGCCCGCGCCTCTTTGACATCAGGTACCGCGGGGAGAGGATTGTCTACGAGCTGAGTCTCCAGGAAGCCTTAGCCCTGTATGGCTCCAACTGCCCCGGGGGCATGTCGACCCGCTACCTTGACGGGAGCTTTGGCATCGGCAGGGGTGGCGCCCCGGCTTTTGCCG